ATCAACTCTCCTTTCAAAACATTACATTTTGCATTATTTATCCAGGGAAGCAAAATCTTCCCTGCTTCTCCCTACTTGCCTATAGCTGATTTTGAAAGTCTGATATTAAAATCCGTGTTATAGCTTGATTTTTAAAAGAGGAGAGATAGCAAAGTGGCCTTACTGGTATCAGCGCCTTTTGGCAAATGTGCCTAGCAACTTACTTAGTAGAAAAAGACATTCATTGCTTTGGGATATTTTAATGAAAATGATAGTTTAGCTGTGGATAGAATCATATCTGTTATACAATCTTATCTGGCTACAAAGATCAAAGATGATCCCGAATGAGAAGTTGTAGAGAAAAATCAACTGAGGTTAAGAAATACAGGGTTTAGAATAGATCATCTTGAAAAATCTATTTGCAATCCAAGGACATAGATGAGCACAACAGATTTTAACTAAAGATTGGTTTTAAACATGTGGCACATGCACTCACATTTCTTCACTTATATTTCCAACAACACCACACAATCACATTATCTCAGACCTCTTCATTTTTCAACAGATGTCTGTGCACAAAATATTGACTCTAGCATATTCAAGCATCAACTGATTTCAGACCTAACCAACGCAGTCTATAAATTAGATGCTAGGCAGAAGTCAGCAGAAAGATTTCTTAGATTCCTCTGGCTTATCACCATATACAAGACTTCTATTTGTGCTGGTTCTTGGTGAAGGTGGACAAAAAGCTTGATCAGTAGCTACTGCTTGTTTTTGCTTATATTAATGCTAGGCTTTAACTCTGATGAGAGCAGCTGAATAGAAAGGAGGAAGAGGTAAGGCAATGCATTTGAATGTCTGTGGAGATTCTCAGTCATCCAGGTCATGGTTGTCCCAAAAGTGCTTTTTCAAGAGGCAGCTGGACTTTCTTGAAGAAGCTGAAGCTTCTTGGATGAGAAGCGAAACATCTTCAAAGAAAAACAAAAAAGTCCTCTTGAAAAAGCAACTTGAGACAATGCATTTGAAAAGAAATAGCATAGGTAGTAGTAACTTTGAAGGCCACATTCTGTAATATTATCACTGAAGGTGGTTGAGAATGCAACTCCCAGCATTACTGTTTTGTGCCTCATATATTAACATTGCTACAAAGGCTCCCCGTCTCTCTAAACTCCCCAATTTAAAAAGGGCCCAATGAGAGGCTTCCCTCATAAGATATGCATTTGAGAGTTAATTTACAAAGAGCGGAAATTCACACAGACACTTTAGTCATCTTCTTCTTGTTGTTGTTGTTTAGTCTCTAAGTCGTGTCCAACACTTCGTGATCCCATAGACCAATTAGTCATTTTGCTGCTAAGTATAGGAACAACATGCTCCACCCAGGAATATTTCTCAGCAATTCTCTCTTCCTTTGAAATAAATTTCTGAAGCAAATTCTTGTTCAACAATCGGGAAAAGAACCTGAAAGAAACAAATGGCAAAGAGATTATCTGCTAGCATTCGCAAACGTATTTTCACATTTGTGTAAATCTTGAGTACCTCTCAGTATTATACTAAAGTACCATCAGATAACACGTTGATGGCAGAAAATGGCTTGCTACAGGACTCTAAAATGAAGAGAATGATGTCAAGGCCTTTTCTTCCATACTTAAATTACCCATGACTGAGCAGTTCTCCAAGAACTCACAGCTGATAGCTAGAAAAAATGTACAAACTTTTGAATATAGTGATGGCCAATACTGATATTTAATCATTGGTGACATTCAGTGAACTTGCCTTGGTGACCATAGCAGCTGCATGCCAACTAGCTTTCACAATGGGTCAACTTTGTGGGGGGGGGGAGGGAACAGAAGCATTTGTTAGCCACAACATCTTATGACCAGCACACCAGACAAATAATATACTTTGTAACAACAGAATATCTTGCCATGACAGCTTTTCTCTTATTATTATCTATGCATTATCTGGTCAGGAAGCTTCGGAGATATGAAATTTGCATGATTAGTTAAGCCTGAATAATTATTTATCCTATTTGGAAAACTTTGGTTCTATGTTGGTTTCTTAACTATGATATAAACATGGTCTTTCTGAAGTAGAAGAATGAAGAAGGTGATGATGATGATATTGTTCAACTATGTGAATTTTGAAATGATGTTCTGATTCACAAGTATAAAATTAGCATATATCTTTCCTGAAAAAAAATGATATAGTTCTCTCATATATCCCTTTAGCTTAGTTCTATTCCTCAGAAGTGTCATTGCTATAGGAGTTAAACCTATCACACAGCTATGCTTTTTAATCTTTGCACAAATGCCATAGTGGCCTTCTTCTGTTTTATTATTATTATTTATTATTTATTACTATTCTGTTTTATGACTAGCTTCCCAATTAATTTTTTCAAGTTTTAGTTGATGCACATTTCTAAGGCACTCAGTTTATCCAATTTTCATGTAAAAAAAGCAACTCTATGCTATATAAAGTGGAATTGTGATGTACTCCAGTGGTATCTGATAGTGCTGCTGAACTCAGAGGAAAAAAAAGGTGCTTTGGAGTGCCTGGATGTAACTGCCCAACTCTAGGATAAGCTGCTTTTTAAGTAGTTACAGACAGATGTTTTGGGTGCACTCCTGTATGCTCTGAAGCATCTTCTTACTTTCATATCTGAAGCACTGTGCAGCACTATGGTCTAACAAGTGTCAATGAGGATAGGGACAAGGACTGCTTCTCAAAATCTTAACATTTGGATGTCACAATAAATAAAAGTGCCCAGTGCCAACTGCTTGATTGCTCCCATTTGGGTCCTCTGGTTCATTTCATATTAAATGGGAACTAGAATGGCTCATTAAGTCATAAGCCATATCTTATTTCCTGGTTTGTGGTCCTGCTATGTTACAAAACAAGCAATCCAGAGTTACTGGTTCACACACTAAACAAATCATAGATAGAAACAACCTGAGTCTAGTTTAAGCATACGGTAGTTTCATTCATCATAAGCCCATGATGTTTTAGTACAATCTCTAACTTTTTGTTTCTTGTTTTTGGATTGATATTTAGCTGCACTGACAATTAATCTTTAACTCAGAATATTTGTGTTTCACATTTTAAGGTATCTATCTCTGGATCATTAATTCTCATTTCAGAGACTACAACTTGGTAGACATGCCTAAGGCATTCTTGTAATGCATATGAATAAACCTATGTTCCCATTTTTACGTTAATATGGAATTCTCACACAAATGGTAGCAGCACTGGAGTGAAACAGAAGCAATACTCTTCTTGTAACTAATGGTTACATTGAAACTGACAGACTAAAACAATAAATATTTTTTTGAAATTTGGGTGTCCTTGACAGAAGGTTATCACCTTCAGGATTAACTGTGTAATAACTTGAATAGATCATCAAGTGATTTCTGAATACACTCATGATAGTGGACTAGGGTAGTTGGGTGAGGAACTCCCTAAAAGCATGGTGCTCTGATACCAAAGCATTTAAATTTTTTCCAGCTTCTGAGATCAGAAAAATAGGAACAATGAAAACAATGAGCATATAATTGGTGAGATTCTTAATAAATACTTATTATTGAACTTTAAATAGTTATTTAAATATCCACCCGACATTAGTAAGTTTCAAGTATTGTGTACAGTAATAAATTATGCATTCCTGATTTTCTACTTATGAAATACTTTGGTTGGAGGTTTTAGTTGTTTCCTGGAACAAGGGCTTTACTGTATCAGGGCTTCATGTCAGCACTAGGTCATGTGTATGAAACAGCATAAGTGGGGGAGAAAATGGACTGAACAACTGGGATTTTAAGCATGTGAAGTACTACTTTCCTGATGTTACTTACATTAAACAATACAATATTTAATCTAAAGTATACTAGCAGCTCTGTTTAAAAAAAGGAAAGAAAAGAGAGACAGAGACAGACAGATATAGTGATATAGATACATACATACACGCACACATATACAAAGTTTTCATAAAGCATTCAGCACCCTGTTCCAAACAAGTCTTGCTGGTGTACAGATTCTCTCTCTAGCCTGAAAGCTTTGATCATGATATCTGATATCATTCTCCACTTGTTTTTCATATCTATATTGCCAACATCATGCCTACCATATATACATATGAATTATAGCATGATTGCGCTGGAATGGAATTCTGGGAGCTGAAATTCAAATATATCTGAATACATATACAATCTGAAGAGCATCAGATTAATAAAAGATCTGGTGACATATTTAATTATCTGACTTTTCTTCTTGTTATACTTATGATTATCACTTCCCCTTTTTTAAAAAAATATCTTCCCTACCTTCTTATTCATTGCTGCATTTCTTTTATTTGAATTTATGATCTGTTTTGCTTTTAATGCAGATATTCAAGGAGGCTTGCAACAAATAAAATGCTCTGATCCCCAAACTAAAACAAGGCTATGACTTAAAATAATACAACTTTTAATTTTTTCCCCCTCATTGCTAAAACTTACTAACTTTAGTAGCATCAGCTGTCATGGGATTACAATGACAAACATTGGGAATTTTCTACTATACCAAATGAACAATTGGCCTGGCTCTTTTCTAAAGGAATCATGCTATACCATATATTTTGGCAAAACACTTTCCTCCATTTAATGTAACGCCTCTTTTTTATGATTCCAGAATGTTGAGTGGCCAAAACAACATCCACTTTCCTCTTTGAAGCAAAATGTAAACATGTTAATTTTTTTTTTTTAAAAAAAAGAGAAACTGCAAAACAAATTCCACGCAAGAGAATGACAAGAAGATTTCCAAGATGGTTCCCGAATTGTATGTGAGCCTTCTCTTTGCTCATAAATTAACTAGGCCAGGACCTGATTACTTTACTGAATGAGTGCCAAGAATCTGCATTTAGGTATTTGTGCCAACCTTATTTTCTTTACTGAGTCACAAATGGATCTCTGTATGCTTGGTGATCTTTCTATCCTTCCCAAAGAAACTTAATTCTCTAATTGTTTTCTTCTATTTTTTCTTTCTTTCTACAGTACATCGCATTTGCCTCCCTCTTCTTCATTCTGGTTTCCATCACCACCTTTTGCCTCGAGACCCATGAGAGATTTAATCCTATCGTTAACAAGACAGAGAAGGAAATTGTTGGCAATGACACCCAGGTGCGGGTCTATCAGGAGACTGAGACGGAGGCTTTCCTGACCTACATTGAAGGGGTCTGCGTGATTTGGTTTACTTTTGAGTTTCTGATGAGGGTCATTTTCTGCCCCAACAAGATGGAATTTATCAAAAATACCTTGAATATCATTGACTTTGTGGCCATTCTCCCTTTTTACCTGGAGGTTGGACTCAGTGGCCTGTCTTCCAAAGCCGCTAAGGATGTCTTGGGCTTCTTGCGGGTAGTCCGGTTTGTGCGAATTCTGCGAATTTTCAAGCTGACCCGCCATTTCGTAGGACTGCGGGTTTTGGGTCATACTCTCCGTGCCAGCACAAATGAATTCTTGCTGCTCATCATCTTCTTGGCACTGGGCGTCTTAATCTTTGCCACGATGATCTACTATGCTGAGAGAATAGGTGCTAAACCCAATGACCCTAGTGCCAGTGAACACACACATTTTAAAAATATTCCCATTGGCTTCTGGTGGGCTGTTGTCACCATGACTACCCTGGGCTACGGAGACATGTATCCTCAGACTTGGTCAGGCATGCTGGTGGGGGCCCTCTGTGCTCTCGCAGGCGTGCTGACCATTGCCATGCCTGTACCCGTCATTGTGAACAATTTTGGAATGTATTACTCCTTAGCTATGGCTAAGCAGAAGCTACCAAAGAAAAAAAAGAAGCATATCCCGCGGCCGCCCCAGCTGGGATCCCCCAATTATTGTAAATCTGTCATAAACTCTCCACACCACAGTACTCAGAGCGACACATGCCCACTCGCCCAAGAAGAAATGTTAGAAATTAACAGAGCAGGTAGGAAACCTCTTAGAGGAATGTCCATCTGACTTTTAATCTCCATCCTTTCTAGAGCTTGAAAGATTCAGTCAGACTGCATTCTTAGCCCAATGGATAGCACGTTATCCCATTGCTGTCCCACTGGCACAAATGGAATCATGTGTGGGACATACAGGTTGCAGGGACCAATGGCAACCAGGAGAAGCTGATAAACAAAATTTAGCAGTGCACAGATTTGTAAGGAACCCTCAGACCAGTCCTGTTTAACAGGATACTTAAAGGCTCTGAAGGAATAACTAGATTGAGCAGAGGAATATTTTCAGTTCTACAATTTTTACTGACAGACTACATTTTTTATTTCAAGATGGTTCACAAAGTTTGCCTGCTGCCTAGCATATTAGCAGTCAAGGGCACAGTTTTTGCCCCAAAAAGAAAACACAAACATACAGTACATTTCCCCCTAGCTTGCTACTTTCCTTTTATACTTAGCTACCAATATTTCTAAAGTTGCAGAAAACCAATGGGTTTGGGGGATTAGAAGAACAAAGCAAACAGCAACTTACATCTACATGCAGATCCATAAGAAAAACATTTCCCCCCCAACTGGTTATTCCAAGTGGTTATTTACTTATTAGAATGGCAGCTTAGATTTCTTAAAGACATGGTGATGAGGTTCAGAAAGACACACAGCTAAAATTTTATTCGTGGCAGGCAATTCCAACCCAGTAGAATCATACAGAAGCTTAGTACTTAGCATTCAAAACACGAGGCTCATCAATGCTTTCTCCTGAAAACAGTCTACAATCAACAGCTTCTTCAACCATCTACTATTAAAAGGCTGATGGAAAAAGGGGAGCTTGGTGGCCATTGGGGCAGATTTCTTCTGAAGAGGCTTGAGCGATAATTTCACAGGGTATCTTTTTTTAAAAAAAAAAAATAGAGATAAATGAAAGCAATAAGAAAATAATTCCATTCGGACAAAACTATTTTTCACATTGGTTCAACATAGAGGTTGGGGAATAAAAATACTAGTCATCATGGAATATGTTATAATATCCCATGGCTAGTGGTCAGTTATGGGACTGTCTCAGTTTTATGAGACTCCTCAAAAGAGCACACAAATGTACAGGGCTTTGATCTGATTAGTTCAACCCCATAATCTACCTCTATCCATGGAATATCATTGACCTATTCTGTGGGGTGGGGATGTAATTTTAAGAAAAACAGACACCAATTATTTTGGCTGGTGAAATCAATGTAAGTTGCAAGCCATGTGCATTATTTAGCCTAAGTGTTGGGGGGGTGGGACATTTCTGATTGGTATATATTGAGAAAAAAAATTGTTTATACAGCAGTTCATGCTACTCTTTAGGGGTAAGAATCTGTTTAAAGGATGAGCTTATGATGGTCTTGCAGTACCATTTATTTGTTTACTTTTGTGGAAAATCTAATTTATTGCTCCATGTGGTGAGGACTCTTCTCTTTCCATCTCATAGCCATGCATGTCGATGCTATTGAAAGAACACAAAAGAAGTATAACTTTCCTTTGTGTGTGTGGCTTCACCAATGCCAAATGCTAATTTCTAAGAGATGACCAAGAGATAGTACAACTTTTCAGTTATTTCGTTGTGGAACTTGAAAATCCATCCAGATGGGTAAAGTTTTCATTTTTGCCTCTGTTTTTCCTGTGGATTTTTTTTTAATCCTTTAATTTAATTTGAAGACTTCCATTGCTCCAGGCTGGCCACAATCCATGCAAGGACTGCCTCTTTACTATTTTACCCTTTGCACATACCTACGCATTCTTCTCAGGTTGCAAATGCTTATCACAAAGTCGTCACCAAGAATAATGCAACTTCTTCATGAGTAAAGAAGTACATATATGATTCTGTAACACAGGGACGATAAAATGATGCTTACAAAGCAGTAGGCTACATACTTCCAATTGCTGAACAATGTCCCTGCTTATTGGGTGCCTGTAGTCCAGAGAACCAATTGGTTTTCATGAAGGCTCTAAAATCATATGTGACCCATGTGTGTAAAAAGAGTTTGTGGACACCTGTTATCATTGGTCTATTTCTTCTCACATGTGGAATTATGTGCAGTATGAAGTGAACTGTACTGTATATGATATAAGCCAAGCAGCTCTTTTGTACTGGTTATGACTGGGCTAGCACTTCTATGCAGCCCAGTTCATGTTAGGACATCCACAAATGGTTCTATACATGAAAAGGGTTATGTGCAGAAAACAATTGGCCAGCTTGCATGCATGAGCCTTAAAGTCAACAGTTTGTTTGTGCTTTTCATCAGCTCCAAGAGCCCATTTGTAATTTGTTTAATAGAGTTGGATTACAGTACCTGGTTGTTTATTCAATACAACAGAAGCAAATGTTTAATGCTTAATTGGCAGGGAAGGCATTGGGGAGTTGAGGAGGATTCTGTCATATCCAGAATCAAGAGATCTGGAGATTCCAAGTAAATCCTATTTCCTGTATACGAATGCCATCATAAGTTAAACTTCTACGTATCAATCACAGGACTTAGATATCCCAACCCTGGAAGTGAAAATAAACCAAAGAGAATCACAACCAACACACAATTATCAGCAGAGTAAAATAGATAGCATCTGAGAAGGACTGTAGATGCCCACTTTATCCTAGGTTTCTTTAATTAGTCTCATTTTCATATCTGAAGAAACATGCTTTCTTTACAATTTTGTTATAATTTCTACCATGTAGTGATCAGCTACTTTGTTGTATAGAATACAAGGAAGTAGCTGCTTCAGAGGCAGATTTAATGAATGTTCTGTGTACCTTGCAATAAGATATTGATCAGCGATAGTCAGTTTCCGGTGCAGTAGGAAATTTTAAAATTAGATTATTCTATTCTAATGTACTAAAATATCCCAAAATTTTATTTAAATCTCCCTCTAATGGCTTCTGCTAGTAGTAGCATTAGTAACACTTCCAATGGGAAACTATTCCTTCATGTTTGCACAAGTATCTGTTTTCTCCAGCTTTTACAGTCCACATTAAGGAAGAGACAGATTATTATTATTATTTTCTTCTAAAGAGTTTTGGAGTGATTAAAAGGCTACTGAAAAGAGTAAAATGGGTCCATTTGTGCATCAGATATCAAGCTGTCAACAGTCAAAGGTAAATATTTGATGTTCTTCCTGTGTTTGGTGCAACTTTCCAGTGTTTAGAAGTAAGGAACGTGTTCTAGGTTACCAAATGAGCTGAAACAAATGATCTCAGGCCAAGTCCAACCAATGTAGTAAAGGTACGATAAAGGATAATATGTCGATTTGTTGACTAAGGTGATATGAGCCTAAGTACCACACCATTTCATTTAGGATGGTCTAGTTTGGAGAATTCATTAGAACCCGCATAATCAGCTTCACTACAGGATTGCACTACCTACCTCATAATGGATAGTTTACTTTAATAGAACTGTTTTGCCTTATTGAAGGAAAAAGTGATTCCTGATTTTAGTTGCACAGCAGCAAAATTATTAAGCCAACGAGGTATATTTGAATGCAGTAAAAGTCAGGCAAGATGTTGTGTTTGGTGAGCATATTTGTAGTTTTCAGTGCTTGATGTGAGCACTTTCACAAAATGGTTGCCAAAAAAGCATTTAACCTCCTCATGCACATAGATTGTTCCATCGCAAAATACCCATGTATCTAATGGCAGGTTAGTGATAGTGCTTCCTGCCATCCCCTCTAATAATTTCTCCTCCCCCTATCATCAAAATGCAGTCTGTAATCTCATGTTAGTTTTGCCTTTTTCCTGGAACCTCTGCAGTCAGGCACCATTATTATTTTTTAAGAATGCCTGAGGGCCCATAGAGTCCATAGACAGTGTAGCAAATCTATATGTATAAACAGTTGACTGCTTTGCAGGAAAACACTGTTTTAATTACAGAGAAAAAAAAACTGGTGGAGCATAGCATGTGCTTGCAATGTCCACAGGTATAGCAACACTCCCTTTACTTCACCCAAATGGAACTATACAATGACATGTCATCACTTAGAAGTCAAGTTTGTTCTTCACATGCAGAAGACCTCAGAGTCCATCTCCAATATATTCAGGGGGAACTTGGAAATGAAATTGCTCCCATTTAATAAAAACAATATGCACCAAGCAGGACCAGTGGTTATGATCAGTAGAAGCCAACTGCTCCATCCCACTGACAACAACCCTAAACCTTATCCTTCGTTAAATGGTAATTCAACTCATTCCACCCCCACTGAGCTATCAGACATAAGACAAAAATGAAGATATTCCAGTCTTCAGATTTATAACAGGCTTAAATAACCGATACATAAATACTTGTTTGTTTTAATTTGGGGCTCGTTATTTTCATGTTCTTTGGACTGGAGCCCTTGCCCTTCTTGATAACTTTATCAGGACCAAGAGGGAGTGAAAAATCACCAGAGATTTCATGTTAACAGGCCCTTTGTTTACAAAAAGGAACAAAGACCAAAAAAAGCACAATACTATTTGTTTCAATCACTTAATTTAACACCCTTTGCTGCAATGATCAAGGCATAAGTGTGATTCAGCTACTCATAGACCAGAGAAAGGGATATAAACACATTACATTTCCATGAGAAACCCATGAAAATGGAGTTTACATAGCAAGCTTTCTCCCTTGAGCCTGTTAGATTGAGAAATATTTTAGAGGTCTTGCTAATACTGCATTAAACATTTCTCTGCTGAGACTGATGAGGCTGGAGAAACTCACTGTGTGATTGCATGATAGCATACAATAGGAAGTCGGAAGTCTAAAGCATGATGAGGTTGAGGAGGAGAAGATGGCTGATAGATGCAGTTTTATTATACAGAGTTTATAATGCTTATTCACATCTTATAAAGAATCATTTGGGATGGATCCATTCTGAACTGAAACAGCAAAGTGTAAACAATGGCATGTTGATATTTTTGAGACTTTTGAGACACGAAAGTGAGATTTATATTCCAGATTTATATTGAAAGTCTATTTCACTTTGGCTC